GAGTCATTTAAGTAGATAGCTTCCTCTGCACGTACTAGTGTACGTGAAGTTTCGCGGCACCCCAAACAAAGGGTGCCCCGTTACACCTGGTAGAACTTCGTAGTCCGTCCAACGACTACTTAGTGTCCGTCCAACATGAACATTTTGGACGCAGAAGACGACAGCTTTCACGTCACACGTGAAGGCTATCCCATCTGAGTGACTCAAAATGGGAGGTAGTCGGCCGCATGAGTGTGCTAATGGGCGAACCCGCCATCAGTGGTATGTTGGAGTCTTGAAGCAGAGACCATCAACATGCTGCTATCAAAAGTTTCTACAAGGGGAACTTGCCGTCGAAAGGCAGAAGATGGACTTGCTACAACAGCAAGGCTCTCATCAGTCGATGGGCGGGCCGACGCACATGCGCCGAACCGAAACCTTGGAGACTGATATCATAAGGTACAAGGGAACCGATGAAGATTCCCTTTTGAAATGGTTCGTCGAGTTAGACGACACCATTAGGGCCCGTCACATCGAGGGTGACGAGATTCAAGTCACCTTTGTCCTGTCAAATTGACGCGACGAGCAAAGACTTGGGTCTTTGGGCTCAAGCTTCACGACCCAAACGTTTTTGAGTCGTTGGAGATCTTGAAGTCTCGGCTCAAAGACACGTTTGATCCGCCACGAGCCGAGTCCAGAGCACGCTCTGCACTCTTGAGTATCAAGCAAGGAAAGCGTGACGTGCACGCTGACGCACAACATCACCGCTACCTTGCGAGTAACGTCACGAAAAACCCTGTTGATGAGCACACGCTCATCAACGTGTTCACCTACGGCCTTGTATATAAACCGGTGAAGACCTACATGTTCCGAGAGGACTTCCATACGCTGGAAAGCGCGATAGCGTATGCGGTAAAAGAAGACTTCAGCCTGAGACAGTCTCAGGCTAACTCGTCAAACTATCGTCCGACGAGGCGACAGGAAACAGGAGGTCTTGAACCAATGGACCTCTGTTACATCGAGAGCGAGAACTCTCGCTCTCTGAGTCACAAGCGAACGGAAAGATGCCATTGCTGTCAGAATATTGGACACTACGCTCATGAGAGTAGTGTCACGAGCACTGCAACACGTCCGAAGACAGGACGTGATGACCGTCGTTGGCCAAGGAAGGGTCCGAGGCGTGGGTACGACCATTTCGCCAAGCCGCGACAGCAAGTCGGACCGTCAAAAACGGTCAGGGTCAGTAGAGGCGGAGCACACTGCTGATCCAGCAACGTCTAGAGAATTTGCAGGACTCTTAACGAAGATTGCTCCCAACACGCAGTCTCTGTGTGTTACTTCTCCTAGTGATGAGGAGTCTCTCATCACTTTGAAGATCGAAGTGACAAGTGGAATGTCACTTCGCGCCCTATTTGACTGTGGTGCGTCGAACAGTTTTATTCGACGCCATTCGCTAAGAGATAGTAGTCTAAGCTATGTTGAGAGAGAGTTCCCTTCAACGAGGAGGACGGTGTGCCTTGCTACAGGTGCATCCGTGACAGTGAAAAACGTGTAGTAGGAATCCACTACACGCTAGAAGGAAAACCAAACGATGATGAATTTATCGTATTGAATTTTGATGACAAATTTGATGTCATCCTCGGTCTGCCATGGCTTAGAAAGTACCGGCCGTGGGTTAGCTGGCAGCATCGATCTGTGAAGATGACTGCCGTTTGTTCATCAGATGGCGATCTGATGAACGTCTTGGATCGTACACAAGCGTGTAAATGTACTACTAGTGAGTGCGATGGCCTCACTTGTGGTACGGTCGTTAATACAACTGCACAAGATCACAATGTAGAAGGCCACTACACTGTGGAACCAGCTTCAGGCACCTGTATGGAGACACAGGCTGCGCCGAAGGTCCACCACTCCAAGAGATCGAGTGGACTGGAACACGGGTGCACACCAAGAAGGGTGCATCCGAGAAGAGAGATTGTTTTTGTTCAGGATGAGCAACACGTTGAAGCAAGATCGACTATCAGACAGTCGAGCGTAGAGCAAGCCCGCTGACTGAAAGAGAGCCGATCGAAGAGGAATTGACTATGGTAGCACACGCACAGTCAGCACACGTAATGGAGAAATTTTCCAGCGTTTCTGAGAGTGACAACTCCCGATATATTTATGTTGAGGGTGCGGACTCCCAACCACCTGCGGATGTGTTTCCCAGGAAATTGACGAGTCAGACAATTTCTTGGTGAATGACGGATCAAGTGTAGGCGCTTATACACTTGATCTGGTTACGCTCCCGAAGTCAGCTTCGGAGGTGGTCGAGTTGCCAACGCTTGAATCTAAAAGATTTTTGCGAGATCTGCGTAGTGACAAGATCAAGTAGATCTGCGTACTCGTCATAGAGGACGAGTACGTCGCCAATATTCAGTCGGCACAAGTGTTTGCTGAGAACGAACGGGTTCTCAGTAGATCATCTATGGAAGAGAGTGTCTTCGATGAGAAGACCCGTTTGATCGATACACGTCTCAATCTTGGGAGTCTTTGAAGACAAATCCTTTGTATAAGTATTTGGTCGAATGTAGGGATGTTTTACGGAATCCGTGCCATGCGAGCTGCCCAAAGACAAAGGCAATCGGCATGAGATCGAACTGAAACCCGGTTCGAAATACTGTGTCATGAAGCAGTGGCCACTTTATCGTGAACAGGTCACAGCTATCGACAAATTTTTTGCCGATCGATTAGCGGCTGGTCATGTGAGGGAATCAACGTTCCCATACAACTCTCCGACCTTCTTTGTGCGAAAGGCCACAGGAGGGTGGCGGATAGTGCACGCGTTCAACAAATTGAGTGCTGCAACGGTATTGGCTCCAACGCCGATCCCAAGAAAGGATGTCATCGTAGATGGTACGGCAAAGAGTACAAAATTTTCATCCATGGATTTAATGGATGTATTCTACCAGATCCTCATGCGTGAACGGAATATCCCTTACACAGCAGTGAGCACCCTCAGTGGTATGCTCTGGGATTGGCACGCCACAGGGGCTAAGTAACGCCCCCGCAACGTTCAACAGATGTGTTACGAATCCGTTGCGATCGTTGCGCGACTTCGCACCGAGTTACTTCGACGAAGTCTCCGTCCATAGCCGGGATATGGATGGAAAGACGGACGTGGAGGTTCATTGAATTCATGTCCGGAAGGTTTTCACACTAATGCGAGAGCATAAGTTGTTCAAGAACCTCAAGAAGTGTATGTTCGCAGCGAACGAAATAACCACTTCTTGGCTGCATCGTGAAAAAAAACGGTATACGCCCTGATCCGGAAAAAAAAAGGCGATTAGCGACTGGCCTGTGCCAGTCGACGTCAAGGGGCTTCTAAAGTTCCTTGGCTTGGCAGCGTATTTGCACAAACACTCGCGCAACAATATGCCGAGATGACCGTACATCTCTCTCGTCTGCTTAAGAAAAACGAGAGGTGTTCATGGAGCGTTGAGTGTCAGCACTCTTTTGTAGGCATCAAGATAAGCTTGGTGCAATCGCCTGCAATCTCCTGTGATTGGCGATTGCAGATCAGGATAGGCTATTTCATGTGGTCTGTGACGCCAGCGATTTTGCAATCGGCTGCGTGTTCATGCAGTACGACTCAGACGGCGTTGAGATCGTCGTCTGTCATCAATCGCGTCAGCTGCAAGCAGTTGAGCAAAACTACCCAGTGCATGACAAGGAACTCTTTGCCATGAAATATGCACTGGCTAAGCTTCGAGCCTACCTCTTAAGAGATAGGCCTTTCATCGTTTATACCGACCATGCGTCAGAACGCACAGCCGTAAACAGTCCACATCTCTCGCAACGAACGGCGAGGTGGCTGTCTTTCTTCACGGAGCACAACTTCTCCATCGAGTATAAACCAGGACGACTTAATGTCATCGCTAATGCTCTTTTACGTCGGCCCGATTTTGAGCCGACTGCTCCACACCACACTAGGGGTGATCCCACTGTAGCTACACTAACAGTGAGTGTTCCGTCGTCGAATCTGCTCGACGACGTGTGGAAAGCATATACAGAAGATGAGTCTCTTCTGCGGTTGATGAATTATGTAGCAAATCCATGCAGTCAACCTTTGAAAAGCTTGTCGTCTCAATATCGCTCTTTACTGAACGGTATTCTGTTCGTAACGGACTGCTGTAATACACAGCAGTCAACGGCGACACACTTCGTGTCGTCGTTCCCGCTCATAACGATTTGCGACTGCGCATCATGCATGAGTGTCACGATGCCCCAACAAGTGGGCATCGCGGAAGAAAAAAGACTTACCTCACGGTAAGTCGTGACATCTACGGTATCGCCAGTATGAGTTTGTGCGCAAATACATTCGCGCTTGCGAAGTTTGTCAACGGGCGAAGCATATTCCTTCTTGCCGTGCACTCTTGTAGCCTCTAACATTTTCCGGCAGAGGGTTGGCAGTCCGTATCGATGGACTTAGTCTTTCGGTTTCCCAAAGACGCTCGAAAGAATACCAGTATTCTTGTGATTGTTGATCGGTTTAGCAAGATGGTACATCGTGTTGCTGTACCTGAGTCAATCACAGCCCAGGGCTGTGCGCGTGTCTTCATCGATAGTATCTTCCGACTTCAAGGTTTACGTCGTAAACTCGTGTCTGATAGGGACCCCCGCTTCACAGCGGAGTTCTGGCAATCCGTGTTCCGTTCACTTGGAACAAGGCTGAAGATGTCGACTTCTGACCATCCCGAAACAGATGGTCAGACGGAACGCGTCAACCGCGTCCTCGAAGAGATACTTCGAGGGTTTTTCCACTCATTTGCGAGTTGGAGTGAGTTCTTGCCGATGGCAGAATTCTCCATCAACAACTCGGTGCACGCGTCGACAACGCATATGCCGTTCTTCGTGAATGGCCTACGTCATTCACGCTTACCCGCCTTCTTAGAGTGCGACTCTAGTGTAAGGGGGGGGCTCGCTCGAACGAATACCGATCTGGTTCTTGATCATCACCCGTCGACAATGATGTCGACTTGATGGAAGCCGACGTCTATTCGATCGACATCGATGATGATGATGACGACGAGGACGCTAGTATATTCAGCATCGCCAATGACTGCCACAGTGTGGACGATGACGCCCTCACTGGTGAAGACAACGTTTTTTCAGCGGTGCACACGAAGCGCACTGCTGTTGACAAGGATGTATCATCAGAGGAATTTCTGCTGACTCGCGAAGCGGTTGTCCGCTTCGTTCAAGACTCTATTGCAGATGCGCTAGACAGACAGAAATGAAACGCAGACAAACATGGAAGAGCAAATGTTCTTTCATTTGATGAAGGAGACCTAGTTTTACTGTCACTAGTAAATCTATCGAAACACGCAGTGACAAACGTGGACAGCAGTAAATTACTGCCCAGATACATCGGTCCATTTCGTGTGTTGCGCCGAATGGGCAACGCATACACGATTGACTGCCCCGTAAGATACGCACGCATCCTACGTTTTAGGTTGGTCGTCTCCGCCAGTACTATCAGTACGATCCCGTTTTCGAGATGAGAAGAACACCTCCACGGTCGAAAGCCGAGACCACCCTCGAGTGGTCCCGTTTCAACGAACCAGTCTGGTTGACTAGCGAAGCGACCTGCTCACGCAGCTCAGCGATGTCTCGATGAGCTACAGCCAGATCATCACGAAGAGAACGATTCAAACGTTCATTCTCAAGCTGCGCGAACGCAAAAGCGCCACGATTGTCCGAACGGTCGTGCGTTAGGGAATTGTAACTTTCCCGTACAAGATCCTCAAGCTTATACAGCCAAGTCCTTTCGTGAGCCAGGTCATCTTGCAACTGTGCCGTTGCACGGTTCAGCTCGTGAACATCAACTTGATCCGACCCTCGATCCGGATCAGGTGTTCCCACCGCCACCACATCCTTTGGTGTGCTCAAGTGGTGATTAACGCTTCCTAGTGGAGCGTATAGTTAGCCACCGCGATGTGAATGGCGTCCGGACGAGTTACCTCGTCCGCTGGCGTGGCTATCCACCGGTGTGGGACAGCTGGGAGCCTCGTGCCCAGCTGATTGTTGATGTCCTTGGTCTCATCGAGCAGTACGACGAGACCCACCCGCTGCGTTCGAAGAAGGGCCGTCGGAAAACGACCTCCCCGAACGCGAGTACAGGGATTGCAAGGTGTCGATCCCTTCGGCCATCTCGGAGGAGATGCGCGCCCTCCAGTAGGGATCATTAGGGAGGTAGTCCTCCCTAGGGGCACAATTCGAGTTGTCCAGGCAACATGGATACGAATCAACCCAAGAGAGACAGGGTAATCCTGCCTTTCTTGAAAGCCGGTGCAACTTGTATCGCGCCCCGACGGGTTTGCGTTTTTCAAACCTGATGCGAGCTGCATCAAGATTGGCGAGCCAGGCCTCACGGTTAATGCACCTGATGTTGTGGATGAGGCATTCCATCCTTGCACCAAGGCTTTGCCGTCTCAGACACGGTTGCCATTGTACCACCGATGTTTGAATATCGCATCGGTGAAGAATTCTTCCTCAGCACGGATAGTTTCCGTGCTGGAATCAGGTGGGCAAATCTTTCTGCAACCGAACAACGGGGTTCGATCCCGCTCGGTAGTAGTGCCGGCCAACTGGTCCACCTCTCGGGATGGCGGCATCCACGAAGCCTCCATTTGAGGAGCGTGGCGCAGGACAATCCGGTCCCTGACCTCTTGATTGGTGCCAGCATGAGCACTGGCACCAGTGTTACCCCGATCCCTTGAGTTACTTCGCTCGTGGTGATGTATAGGTGCATCACCACCATCTACACGCGTCCTATCGTTAGACGGACTAACGTGAGGCGGAGACTCATCGGAGTAATCATTCGATCCGAAGATCTCGGTCATGATGCTGCCGCGCTAACAAGAGTCAGTCAGCCTGGCTTTTGCAGCGTCCACCCGGGTGATCCGGAGGTGTGAGGAGTCGCCTTCGAGTCGGATGCATCATCCGACTCGCCAGAATATATGAGCTCTATCTCAGACTCGTCTTGATTACGACCCATGGTACCCGCTGCAGACGCAACGGATGTACCTGTCGCACGTGGTGACTCACCACGTGGAGGATTTACGACAACTGGCGACGAATCGCCTGCTGCTGAGGCGTTAGAGGCACTTTCCGCGGCCGCACGCATGTGTGCAGCCGCTCTTCTTGCTGTTGCAGTAGCAGCTTGCGTGGTTTTGGAAACCATGCGTTGGATCGGCAAATGACCGGAATTTGACCATCAAGTGCTCCCTTTCCCAGAGTGAGATAACAAGGTTAACCTGTCCCAATCAATTCTAATTCAATCAACGGGTGATTGATAGTAAATGGGGGGGGTGTAACGGGGTCGCCCGTTACATGAAATTGACACCAAACGGTGTCATTAGAAGTACTGTCTAGCATGACAATATTCTACCGATATTATCCAAGATGGATAAAATTGAAGGAATATTATTCACTTTTAGGATAATATTCATGCGCTGCTCCAAGATTCGTTGATTTAGGACACATCAACCATAGATTGCCACCAATCGGAGATGGACGCGCGCAATGAGTGGTGAGCAGGTTGTCGTCATACGACGACGTAGTTTAATAAAGCTAGATAAAGATTAAAGTTATTGATAGCTTAACTATATTAATTACAGATCTCTTTTTACCTTTACTTAAACGAGTCATTTAAGTAGATTAGCTTCCTCTGCACGTACTAGTGTACGTGAAGTTTCACGGCACCCCAAACAAAGGGTGCCCCGTTACACCAGGCATCAAAATTCTCGTCACGCCGTTTAGTGAGCCAAGTTGTAGCATTCTGTCTTCGTTGTGGTCTCACAGCGACAGCAATAGCTGTTAGTCCGACCCTACCCGCTGGCCTGGGCGCGACACCTATAATTTCGGGTTGACTTTGCGGCGACTGGAAACTGTAGTCGTTGCGTGTTTCCATAGAAACTGCTTGTAAAAGTTGCTTAATTTCTTCTCCGCTCATCGGGGTTTTTAAAGTTAATTGCAGTGAACAGCAAGTAACGACGAAAGATGGAGCTAAGTGTCATAACTTAGTCTGAGTCAGCAATCGGACTTCTGTTGTGTACGATGTACTGATACAAATTGGATCGTTTCTTTTATGTCGGTAGAACGATGTTGCCGTCGCTGAAGTTACGCATGTTCTTGTTGGTCCCGCTACGACCGCGAGTAGAATACCTGTTGCAGAGCCCGTCTCGTTTTACTGATCTGGACACTAAGTTATTATACCCTTGGTAGCCGTAAAACAGTTTATAGATATTTTCATCTCTTTACAGGAAGGAAAGCTGGCTACAAAGAGAGCGGCAGGTTGGTTAGATCAATTTTAGCGATGGTTGCACCTCTCTCGGACCTTTATTTGACAAAATTTCTGAGCTAGTGCGTAATTTCACCCGATGCTTTTGTCATATCGTACAAGTATGCGGGGTCTCAGACACAATTGCGCGGTCAAGACGGGTCTTTAAAAAAAGGTTGTCTTTTTTTCAGGAGGAAGTATTTGTAAGCTCCACAACCCTTGGCCAAACAACTCCAGCAATTCAGATGGGGAAATCTACACACAAATGTACTGAACGTTGCACCTAAATTATTCTGCATTTTAACTTGATCAGATGTTCATACTTTAAATGGGTCGGTGTGCCCGTAGCAAAAGTGGGATGCGGCCTTAGTCGTGGCCTTGCAATTTGCCACACACTAATTTTTCTTACAACTAAAAAAAGAAGCACAACCGTTCGATTTCGTCGACATTCTGTTGCCGACGATTGAGCGGCAGGAGGACCTGCTGCTAAGGATTGTAGCGGCGCCCTTAAATTTGAGAGAAGCTTCTCAAACTAGCAACAACAAAGACCTGGCCACAATGGTAAAGACTAGTGCGTTGTTAAATAGAGTGGATGCATTCTCCTTCACATCATCACATTTGGGCTCCATTCTTTGCATCCAAAGCATACATTTCAATGCAGAGGTAGAACGAATCGTACGTCAAGCTTCTGTAAGCGTCCGGATGATTTGAATGTTTACTAAAAATAAATAGGAAGACGAAGAAGGCGCTTTCTTTCATAGCGTTCTCTACACACACATATTAGGCCTCATAAAGAACGATAAGCTGAGACGCTTGTACGATAACATGTGATTTTATCAAAGAAGGTTTTGGGTAAACAGTGCGGGGTGTGATTGAGTGCCGATAAGAAGCTTTTCTCTTATCTTTAATCACCCACTGCACAGCCACATGCAAAATTAATGCATGGAGCACATGCGCTGCCTTTCAACAACTCAGTGTTGATATCCTTTATTGTGGTTAATTTTCTAGGTGATGGCAGCAGATGCCGTCTCAAAAACACCTCTGATGGTGGTGTCCTTGCTGTTTGAATGGCTCCTGGGAGGCGTCTTCATGAAAAACATGTAGCACTTAGGGTGGCACTCGAAGGTCGCTTTGAAAAATGGCTTTTAGATACAACTTTTTTTCTGAGCAGCACTCATATCCAAGTTTATATAAATCTGCCTTCAATTCCATGGATGATTATCGCGATGGTCAAATAAGACTGATTGGAGCGTCGCGATCGTTAGGAATATAATGTGGGTGATATGGTGGAAATGACAAATATGTGTAGTGAATTTTTAGCGATTCTCCCGATGCTAAAATATGAAGCCTTTTGTCAAGTTCTCTGCGTTACATTTTAACTACTGCTCAAAAAGGCTCTAACAGAGGTTAGGCGAATGCTCAGCTGGATATCCTGTTTATAAAGCACCCCAAAATAAATTCTGATCAATTATATGGCTCAGCATACTTAACAAAGCTTATTGGTGACCATGTATCTTAAGAGTGACATTTATGGCCTTCCATGGTCCGTCTACGTCTTGTGCGATTTATAGACGAAGTGAAGCATGAGCAGGACACCGCGTGTAATTAAAGGAACTTGTGCTCATAGCAAAGCAATTTGAATACCAGAAGAAAGCATAGACATAACTGTCGTGTACAAGCCTATGAATGCACACGTTGATTCCTTGGTGTTTTGAAGCGACAGGTGGCACGTAATTCGGCGCCATCCCAGTAGTCAGTGGCATTGCGGTCGTATAGCCATATGGATTCTTGTGTGTCAAATCCACTTGTATTGGTGAAGATGATTATAAAGAAAACTTGCGATCGGGCAATAAGCACGGCATTTTCGAGAATGATACCTTTGACACGGTGTGGTTCCAATTGAGCCATCGCATCTCGGCGGTGGTCCATTGAACCTCAGATGAACTATGTTAATAGTCTCAACCTATTTTAGATGCACCAAAAGTCAAAAGTAATGTCATGCTTTCTATAGAAGTTTATTGCGGGTTAGGACAGATGGAACGAGTAGGAACCGGCCAATAGCTTTTTGCTTTATGTGAAAGTCACTGAAACAGATATAGCACTTACACGTAAACTATAGACCTCATTCAATCAAAACTTTACTTTTTTCCACGACTGACCCGCATCAAAATTTTGATCTTTACCAGTTCATGAGCCCAAAGATTGCCAGTAGGTTCACGTCTTACACTACCAAAGCGGTCAATAAAGCTCATCTACAATAATTACACGAAGTAGGCGCGCTCATCCGTGATGTGCTTTTGACGAAGCCGTCATGTAACCTGGTAAATTATGAATCGACAACTAGCTTTACCGCTGCTTGCATCTTAGGAAATGGTATGTGGGGATAAACAACTTCGTCTTTTGTCTGGTGCTCTAATTTATCGACGCTGAGAATCACCATCTCGTCAACGACTGCAAAGAACCAAGGAATATGTGCAACCGTCTCGTACCCTGTAAGAAGCATCACAGAAGGTCAGACACATCTAATCTAAGTGTCTGGTGTCCATAATGAAAATGAAGGTAGGCGAAAGCATCTTGCAGCGCTGGAATGGGGTCCTCAACACCACGTATAACTCATCAGATTCGGTGCGAACTTGGAAGATTGAGATGTAACAAATTGTATGCTGCGCACTTTATTGAAGATGCTACAAAATTGTCGTGCTGACAATCAAGATGAGCAGTAGAGTCTCATAGATCCATGATGTGACAAAGGTGATTACCAATGATTACAAAATATGAACGGTGAAAAATGGCCGCAGTGTGTAAAGATTCAAGTAAGGCATTGAAAGCTGCAACAAATGTCGATACTGCTCTTTCCGCAGAAAAGATTGATCACACGAACGACCGCTGCTTGAATAGCAACAAGCAGCATAGACGAGACTGTGAGGACTGAAGACTGCCAAGGAAGTCAACACTGGAAAAATCTCGATACTGCTCGTTTTTTAGAAAGATTAGTCACACAAAAGACCGCTGCTGATATGCTAATTTTGAAACTACTTTCATATGGGGGATGCTAGCGCGATGTAGGGATCAATTTATAGCGCCAAAAGGAACGCTTACGCTCCTGGGTAGGTGCAAAATCCAAAATTCTTGGAAATTGTGTGGAAAAGATCGTAAAGAAGCTCACTGTAGACGATGCTAGCAATAATTAGCATAGAAAAACTAGTCGGGTGGGAAACGAGGGACAAGTAAAAATGTTGAACGCAATTACAATCGCGACAACGACAAAAAAGCCATTCTCGTGTTTGTGGTGTCGATAGGATGTGGACTCGCGGCCATAAATGAAAGGGATGACCTGAGTGTGGGTAATTGACAGTATTGGGTTGCCTTACCGCTGTAGTATCTAGTCTAAGTAAATATATTTACATAAATCAACCACGGCTGGTTATCTCAATCAATCATCCGACCAAGAAGCTTGGTGTTGGTGCAATTAGACGGTCTTGTACTCAACATGCAATTCTAAGACGTGCTGTATGTGCCGCCTGTGAAAAAAACTTGTTGTCATATTCGCAACTCAACACTTTCACCAAATTCAATTCTTCTTCGACAGACTCAAGCATGAATTTGCTGCACTATTGCTCTCGCATAGTACTTGCAACTGCAGACCTCAGTGACGAACTTTATTGGCTTCGCCAACCTTTAAGGGTAACAGCTACAGTAGCTACGAGTGCTTTTCGAATCACATCTGGAGCGTCAGGCCGCGCAGAGTTAAATGTTCAGAAAACGATTATTACAAGTGATCATAGACAAGCTTATGGCCTGTTAAATCAACTTCAATATAAAGTATGATCCTAAGAGAAATCGAGAGCGTCGGATAAAGCAGATACCTGCGATTTACCGTCGACGGAAGACTGGGTTGTTGAGATGAACAGTCTGGATAGAAAATCAGGCAGTGAAGATGCAACGGGCCACCGATCGCCTGTACTGTCAAAAAGCAAACTACTTACTCTGACTAAAACATGAGCAGGTTCTTTAAATCTGAAGTACACGTATCGTGCAGAAGAAGGTTTGAATACGATATACGGGTTAAAGTAGAATTGCGTTCGATGAAGTTATTGTCTTGTAAGTAACAAATACTTGGCCGACTTTTAGCACCTTCTTAATACGAACATGAATCGTAAGTATCTGCTCATAACTCATTGCGCTCTTCTGTCGTGGCTTGGCTGTATCGATTGATAATTTTGCTCTGCATCAACAAATAAACAGTGTACTTGTTCTTCATCACAAAATTACCTGTTACGATAACATTGCGAGATTAGTATGCTTAAAAACATAATATTCATACTTGATACGTTCTTCATGTAAACTATCCTAGAACGGAGGCACCCCTTTACAGAATCTGTGCTGATAACGCTTGTCAATCAAGTTGGCAACCAACTAGATTAAAAAAAAGGTGTTTAAGGCAATAAACAGCAAGTAAGAATCGACCCTCACTTGCATTAAACAAACGGTGTGGCGGAGCAAACAAAATTCGAAGGGATGTAGCGGTTGGTGGCAGTAGGCTGTACTACGCGTGTATGAGCAGTTAATTTTGGGCCAAGACTACTGTCCACATCACGAATCGTATTCAATCGCACAGAAGACCACTAACTACACTGTTTGAAACGGTTCGCACATATAAACCAAGTGTAAAACACCCGTTACTGCGACTTATCAGCTTTTATTCCAACGGTTAGTTTTAAGCACCAAAGTTAGGACTCAAAATTTTGGCTAGATAATGCCATAGGTTTCAAAAACACTTTGAGTTTAAATCGGGTTCACGATATCGAGAAAGACTAAATTAATCAGTCTCAATTTTAATAGAACAACATTTGTCTGAGTAATTACTCTGGCAAGCACCTTGGTAGACAAATTGGTCTGCAATGTTCCGGATCTTATAAAAAATTGCCTATTCGATCCAGCTAGAGTCCTAAATGTCTTAATTGACAGTTTTATAGCAAAATAAGATGCCACAAATAGGGGGGGGGCGGGGTTGCTGGGTTCGGTCTCCGACCTACCGAGCAGCTAAACCTCCTAAATGTTTGCATGCAAAGGCCAATATGCTATAAGTTTGTTTTTCTCCAAGCCAGCTACATGTCGAAATTCTTTAGATTATTCATGGTCGAATGCACCGGTGCAATGCAATCAAGGCCGCGATTAAGTCGATGATAATTCGAGGTAAATTTTCCACTGTTAACTCCGGGACAGTCAGCCTATGATTGGCATCTAATGTGGGTGTAATAATCATACAGAATGTTGATGGGTCAATCTTAAAGTACAGATATCTACTCGTTGCCAAATCCCTGCTTTATCTATATGGCGTTGCTTACGCGGGTCCATTTTCTCCGGTTGTGTAGTATGTTACTCCTTGCATAATGATCGCTTTGGCCAAACTGTTGTTATAAGATGAACCAAGTTAAATGTGTTCATTTTTTTGCAATTTATAAATTAAAAAAAACTCATCTACATTTTAATTTCGGCAGAATGGAGATAATTTTGGACTTTGAATGTCGCTCATCAAGTTTATTACGGGCTCAAGCAAGTGTCCAGCGTGTAGAATGAGAATACTTCTAAATAAGTGCACGAAATTGGCTTCCACACGCCCAAATGCTTCCTTTTTAAATAAGTCATATGCCTAGAAGGGCAATATGTTCCGACTTTGATGTAAAATGAAGCCTCTTGATTGCGGAAGCCTCATCGACACGATGTACCAAGTCAAAAAAAACATTAAAACAACAAATTAAAATGACTTTTATTGGGGCATGCAAGTTTTTCTCGTTATTGAGCTAGTTCATCATGATGATTGTGGTACCCTGTTCAGCGGCTCTACATCGAGCACAAGTTACAAAAATCTCGAATCGAAGTCTGCAAATACTGTATTTAGCCCGTTGAATTTGGCAGATATACAAGGTTGATACGCAAGCGAACATAATCAGTCAAATACCGTGAACCTGAAGGTGCACTCAGAGCGAATTGACATTTCGTTCCACCAAAGGATGTGGTGGCGGCGGGAACACCCGATCTGGCACGAGGGTCGGATCAAGTTGATGTTCAAGAGCTGAACCGTGTAACGGAACAGTTACAAGATGACCTGGATCATGAACGGACTCGGCGTTATGAGCTCCATGATTTTGTAAAGGATAATTGAAGTTCCTTGGCGCACGATCGTTCGGACGATCATGCCGCATTTGCGTTTGCACAACTTGAGAACTAACGTTCGACTCGTTCTCTTCTGGCTCGTTGAAACGGGACCACTCGAAGGTAGTCTCGGCTTCGACCGCGGAGGTGTTCTTCGCATATCGAAACGGGCTCGTACTGATAGTACGGGCGGAGACGTCCAACGTAAAACGTAGGATGCGTACGCATCTTACGGGTCAGTTCAGCTGTGTATGCGTTGCCCATTCGGCGCAACACACGAAATGGACCGATATACTTGGGCAGTAATTTACTGCTGCCCACGTTTGTCACTGCGTGTTTCGGTAAGTTTACTGTAGACAGTAAAACTAGGTCTCCTTCATCAAATGAAAGAACATTTGCTCTTCCATGTTTGTCTGCGTTTCTTTTCTGTCTGTCTAGTGCATCTGCAATAGAGTCTTGAACGAAGCGGACAACCGCTTCGCGAGTCAGCAGAAATTCCTCTGCTGATTCATCCTTGTCAACAGCAGTGCGCTTCGTGTGCACTGCTGAAAGAACGTTGTCTTCACCAGTGAGGGTATCATCGTACTCACTTTGGCGGTCATTGGCGATGCTGAATATGCCAGCATCGTCGTCATCATCATCATCGATATCGATCGCATCGACATCGGCATCCATCACGTCGACACCATTGTCGACGGGTGATGAGCAAGAACCAGATCGGTTTTTGTTCGAGCGAGTCCACCCCCCCTTTAACTAGAGTCACACTCTAAGAAGGCGGGTAAACGTGGATGGCGTAGGCCATTCACGAAGAACGGTGTATGCATTGTTGACGCATGCACCGAGTTGTTGATGGCGAATTCCGCCATCGGCAAGAACTCACTCCAACTCGTAAACGAGTGGACATACCCTCGAAGTATCTCTTCGAGGACGCGGTTGACGCGTTCCGTCTGACCATCTGTTTCTGGATGGTCAGAAGTTGACATCGTCAAACGTGTTCCAAGTGAACGGAACACGGATTGCCAGAACTCCGCTGTGAAGCGGGGGTCCCTATCAGACACGAGTTCACGGGGTAACCCGTGAAGTCGGAAGATAGTATCGATGAAGACACGAGCACAGCCCTGGGCTGTGATTGACTCCGGTACAGCAACAAGATGTACCATCTTGCTGAACCGATCAACAAACACAAGAATACCAGTATTCTTGTGAACGTCTTTGGGAAACCCAAAGACGAAGTCCATCGATACGGACTGCCAACACTCTGCCGGAATCGGTAGAGGCTGCAAGGGTGCGCGGGATGAAGGACTAGGCTTCACCCGTTGACAAACTTCGCAAGCGCGAATGTATTTGCGCACAAACTCATACTGGCGGGGCCAGTAGAAGTCACGACTCACCATGAGGTAAGTCTTTTCTCTACCGCGATGCCCACTTGTTGGGGCATCGTGACACTCATACATGATGCGCAATCGCAAATCATTATGAGCGGGAACGACGACACGAGGTGTGTCGCCGTTGACTGCTGTATAGTACAGCAGTCCGTCGCGAGCAGAATACCGTTCGGTTGAAGAGCGGTATTGAGACGACAAGCTTTTCAAAGCTTGATTACACGGATTGAATACGTAATCCATCAACCGTAGAAGAGACTCATCTTCTGTGTATGCTTTTCGCACGTCATCGAACAGATTCGACGACGGAACACTCACTGTTAGTTTTGCTACAGTGGGATCACCCCTACTGTCGGGTTGAGCAGTCGGCTCTAAATCAGGCCGACGCGAAAGAGCATCAGCGACGACATTAAGTCGTCCTGGTTTATACTCGACGGAGAAGTTGTGCTCCGCGAAGAAAGACAGCCACCTCGCCATTCGTTGCGAGAGTTGTGGACTGTTGACGGCCGTGCGTAACGACGCATGGTCGGTATAAACGATGAAGGGCCTATCTCCTAAGAGATATACCCGAAACTTAGCCAGTGCATATTTCATGGCAAGGAGTTCCTTGTCATGCACTGGGTAATTACGCTCAGCTGCTTGCAGCTGACGCGATTGATAACAGACGACGCGCTCAACGCCGTCTGAGTCGTACTGCATTAACGCGCAGCCGATTGCAAAATCGCTGGCGTCACAGACCACATGGAATGGTCTGTCCTGGTCTGCAATCGCCAACACAGGCGATTGTATCAAGCTTTTCTTGATACCTTCAAAGGAGTGCTGACACTCAGCACTCCATGACCACCTCTCGTTTTTCTTTAGCAGACGAGAGAGATGTACGGTCATCTCGGCATAGTTGCGCGAGTATTTGTGCAAGTACGCCGCCAAGCCAAGGAACTTTCGAAGTCCCTTGACGTCGACTGGCACAGGCCAGTCGCTAATCGCCTTGATCTTTTCCGGATTAGAGCGTACGCCGTTTTTACCCACGATGCAGCCAAGAAGTGGTATTTCGTTCGCTGCAGATATATTTTTCTTGAGGTTCGCGCACAACTTATGCTCTCGCATTAAAGTAAGAACCTTCCGGTCGTGGATTCTATGGACATCCACGTCAGTCTTTTCATCCATGGCCCGGCTAATGGCAAAGACATCGTCGAAGTAGCTCGGTGCAAAGTCGCGCACCGATCGCTAAAAAATTCGTAACACATCTGTTAAACGTTGCAGGGGCGTTACTTGATCTCTGTAGCGTCACTAGCCACTCCCACAACATACTGCTAGGGGTACTCACTGCTGTTTACGGGATGTCCCGTTCACGCATGAGGATCTGATAAAATCCATCCATCAGATCCATGGACGAAAAGATGGTGCTTTTTGCCATACCATAAAAGATGACGTTCTTCCTCCGTATCGGCGTTTAAGCTGGTACCGTTGCAGCGTTCAATTTGTTGAATGAGTGCACTATCCGCCACCCTCCTGTGGCATTTCGCACACAGAAGGTCGGAGAGCTGTGTGGGGATGTTGATTCCTTCACATGACTAGCATCTGAGCGATCGGCAGAGAATTTGTCGATCGCTGTGACCTGTTCACGAGGCAGTGGCCACTGCTTCATGACACAGTACTTCGAACCAGGTTTCAGTTCGATCTCATGCCGAGTGCCTTTGTCCTTGGGCAGCTCGCATGGCACGGATTCCGGGAAAACATCCCTGAATTCCAACCAAATCCTTATACAAAGGATTTGTCTTTAAAGACTCCCAAGATTGAGACGTGTATCGCTCAATCCGGGTCTTCTCATCGAGGACACTCTCGTCCATCGATGAGCTACTGAGAACCCGTTCGTTCTCAGCAAACACTTGTGCCGACCGAATATCGGCGACGTACTCGTCCTCTGTGACGAGTACGCAGATCTGCTTGATCTTGTCACTACGCAGATCTCGCAAGAATCTTTTAGATTCTAGCGTTGGCAACTTGACTACCTCCGAAGCTGACTTCGGGAGGCGTAACCAGATCAAGTGTATAAGCGCCTACACTTGATCCGTCATTCACCAAGACATTCACTGTCTCGGTGATTTCCTGGGAAAACACATCCGCAGGTGGTTGGGGATCCACACCCTCAACATAACTCTCTCGGGAGTTATCACTCTCAGGAACGCTGGAACTTTCTTCCATTACGTGTACTGACTGTGGGTGTACTACCACAGTCACGTCCTCTTCGATCGACTCTCTTTCAGTCGATCGGGCTTGCTCTACGATCGACTCTCTGATAGTCGATCTCGCTTTAACGTGTTGTTCATCCTGAACAACACTAATCTCTCTTCTTGGATGCACCCTTCTTGGTGTGCATCCGTGTTCCAGTCCACTCGATCTCTTCGAGTGGTGAACCTTCGGCGCAGCCTGTGTCTCTACACAGGTGCCGGAATTTGATTCCACAGTGTAGTGGCCTTCTACACTGTGAACTCGTGTAATCGTACTAACGACCGTACCACAAGTGAGGCCATCGCACTCACTCGTAGTACATCCACACGCTTGTGGACGCTCCAAGACGTTCATCAGATGGCCATCCGATGAACAAACGGCAGGCATCTTCACGGATTGATGCTGCCAGCTGACCCATGGCTGGTACTTTCTAAGCCATGGCCGAACAAGGATGACATCAAATCTGTCATCCACATCCAGTACGACGAATTCATCATCGTACTGCTTTCCTTCTAGCGTGTAGTGGATTCCCACTACACGTTCATTCACTGTTACGGATGCACCTGTAGCAAGGCACGCCGTCATCCTCATTGGAGGGAACTCTCGCTCAACATAGTTGAGTCTACTATCGTCTAGCGACTGGCGTCGAATAAAACTGTTCGACGCCCCACAGTCAACTAGGGCGCGAAGTGACATTCCACTTGTCACTTCGATCTTCAAAGTGATGAGGGACTCCTCATCACTAGGGGCAGTAACACACAGCGACTGTGTGTTGGGAGCAATCTTCGTCAAGAGTCCTGCAAATTCTCTTGACGTTGCTGGATCAGCAGGGTGCTCCGCCCCTACTGACCCTGACCGTTTTTTTGACGGTCCGACTTGCTGTCGCGGCTTAGCGACATGGTCGGACCCACGCTTCGGACCTTTCCTTGGCCAACGGCGGTCATCACGTCCTGTCTTTGGACGTTTTGTAGTGCTTGGGACACTACACTCATGAGCGTAGTGTCCAATCTTCTGACAGCGATGGCATCTTGCCGTTCGCTTGTGACTCAGAGAGCGAGAGTTCTCGCTCTCGATGTAACAGAGGTCCATTGGTTCGGGACCTCCTGTTTCCTGTCGTCTCGTCGGACGATAGTTTGACGAGTTAGCCTGAGACTGTCTCAGGCTGAAGTCTTCTTGTTCCGCATACGCTATCGCCTTTCCAGCGTATGGAAGCCCTCTCGGAACATGTAGGTCTTCACCGGCCCATCTACAAGGCCGTAGATGAACACGTTGATGAGCGTGTGCTCATCAACAGGGTTTTCCGTAACGCTACTCGCAAGGTAGCGTAGGTGTTGTGCGTAAGCGTGCACATCACGCTTACCTTGCTTTAGCCTCAAGAGTGCAGAGCGTGCTCTGAACTCGGCTCTTGGCGGCTCAAACGTCTCTGAGCCGATCCTGAAAGGTCTCCAACGACTCAAACACGTTTGGGTCGTGAAGCTTGAGCCCTAAGGCCCAAGTCTTTGCTCGTCCTGTCAAATTTGACAGGGCGAAGGTGACTTGCATCTCGTCACCCTCGATGTGACGGGCCCTGATGGCGTCGTCTAACTCGACGAACCATCTCAAAAGGGAATCTTCATCGGTTCCCTTGTACCTTGAGATATCAATCTTCAAGGTTTCGGGTCGACGCATGTGCGTCGGCCCGCCCATCGACTGATGAGAGCCTTGCTGCTGTAGCAAGGCTATCTTCTGTTTTTCGACGGCAAGTTCCCCTTGTAGGAACTTGTTGATAGCAGCATGTTGCTGGTCTCTGCTTAGAGACTCCAACATGCCACTGATGGCGGGTTCGCCCATGAGCACACTCATGCGGCCGACTACCTCCCATTCTGAGTCACTCAGATGGGAGTAGCCTTCACGTGTGACGTGAAAGCTGTCGTCTTCTACGTCCAACATGTTCATAAAGTGTTGGAAGGACTACTAAGTGCTACCAGGTGTAACGGGGCACCCTTTGTTTGGGGTGCCGCGAAACTTCACGTACACTAGTACGTGCAGAGGAAGCTAATCTACTTGAACGACTCGTTTAAGTAAAGGGTAAAAAGAGAACTGTATTTAATATAGTTAAGCTATCAATATAACTTCAGTCTTTATCTAACTATATTAAACTACGTCGTCGTATGACGACAACCTGCTCACCACTCATTGCGCGCGTCTAGCAGCGATTGGTGGTAATCTATGGTTGATATGTCTTTTATCAACCAATCTTGGAGCAGCGCATGAATATTATCCTACAAGGGGATAATATTCCTTCAATATTATCCATCTCGGATAATATTGGTAGAATATTGTCATGCTAGACAATATTCCTATTGACACCGTTTGGTGTCAATTTCATGTAACGGGCTACCCCGTTACAGCTCAGCTGATGTTCAACGATTTTCGTGTGCTCTAAAATAATCATTTCTGTAAATGATGCTGGAGACGCTTATAACGAGATCATGAAGACTGTTGCTACATGTGGTCTCGAGCGCGCCACGATCAACTTGACTATGCAACCCTTGTACTATCTCCACAATGTCGAGACACAATATAACAAGACATTAATTTGATCAAGAGAGCCTTTTGCACGTGTTAAGTCGTATCATCTTGATTGCACATTCCGTTTAATCTGCTCAATCCACATCAAGTGCATTCGCACCGAAAACAGTGGCGAGTTCATTATTAGCGGCTCACAGCAGTTTGTCGACTTTCCATAAATGTGCAGCGAACGACAGTGCCATGTCCACCACAAATTTCGGAATGGAAGAACGAATGGAACACACATTAAAGAACGTGCTTGATTGATCCTCGATTTTATGCACGTCTACTAGAAGTGGTGGGTAGAAGCCATGAATGCTGCCGATCGTGTGAAGTATCTAGTTTTATATGCTGCTAGCCCGAAAAAGACTCCATTCGAATTGTGGCTTGGATCCAAGCCGTACATATCGTTCATGCGCGCGTTTGGCTGAACTTTACGCGGGCGTTGACAACAAAGCTGGAAAAGAAGCATTATAGTACATGTATTGGTATGCTCGTATGGATTAAAGGCCTACCGCGTCCAGAAATTTCTATTTCGAACGTGTCGACATTACATGGTCGGTATTGTTTGAAATATGCCTAAGGTCAAATAAAAGCAATTTGTTGGGAATTTACCTGTCATAACACTCGCACTTCCTAATAGAATCGTAATGAAACAACAGCTAAAAAAATTAGATCCAAATACTTAGAGTGTAGTAGAGCCGATGGAGATGGATTAGATTGAACTGTGACCAAATTATTAAGCCTCCTAGTGAGCTCGATGTCTTAAGTCCGCGCCAGGTTGGCCGAATTTCGGTCCGATATTATGATGTTCAAATGATGCTAGACGACTTTGTTGTGGATATAGATCAGGAAATTTTTGCCCAGAGGGCTTTGCATGTATTTACATATGCTGATCACAATGCCCAGTTGCATTACCACCAAGTCAGAATTCTAAGCTTTTTGGACATTCAATTTGTCAACGTCTATTTTGTTGACGCAACAAGAATTGAAAGGGTGGAGCGTGGACTGAAAAGCTATCGCATTGAAAATGAGCGTGCTAATGCAGCACTTGCAACCTTATCGAAAGATCGAAATGAAGTTATTTATTCTCAATTATTTAGACGGAGTGCAATTAAGACCAAGTTTTATGCACTATCGAGAAGTAGACAAGGACTATTGTGAATGAACACACTAATGTAAGCTCACCATAATCAAGTGGGTATCTCCATTATAGAATCGAAAACGGTCGGATAAAGCGTTTTAAATCTCGATTTCCGGCGGTGGGGCTGTGTCAGCCTTATGCAGTTGACATTTTTGACACGTACTCTTTAGTCGCGAACATGAACTCGATTCGCATCTTCCTAATTGTTTGTTGACACGATATATTGATTACCAGCCAGATAGATATTTATTGCGCATGTGTCGATGGTATTTTGAAGAAAAATTTGTACAGCTACGTCCCTTAAGGTGTCGACAAGAGCCCTTGTCAATTTTTGAAATCTTAATCGAATTTTGTACGTCCTTAAGCAAGCATTTGCAACGTGATGTAAGAAGTTTTAAGGGATACTATGAAGATGGGACTTCTTTGTGACATTCTTTTTTCGGATCGTGTGTTTTCTCACGCAAAGATAGCAGCTCATCTTAAGTTTACGTGACTTCGCATGTCGCTTTTTTCTCATCGGACGTATTATGGCACACTCAGTAAGGGAAATTATAAGCTAATTGCTGAGTCATTTCACATGAAGACATTCAAGAAGATGCGTTTCATATCATGTATCGAGGTCGGGTATGATGTGAGTGTGGATCAGTTCAAGAAATGTCAAGCGCATGCTTGCTAGACAGGTCAGAAAAATCCAGTCAGGTTAAAGTAAATCCTTTGCATATTAAGTGCAGAAAGGCAATTATGAGCGATTGGGAAAAGAAGGACCACAACTTAGAGATGGTCCACATCAATTTCATGCGGGATCACTGCTGTACGCGACAACTGTATCAAGACCCTACATTGAGTTCGTAGAAGACAAGTGAAGAGCAATGGCATGCGGCTTTCGTGTTGTTTTTGCTTCATAAAGTCGACTAAAAATTAATGGAATATGTTTTCGGAGCTCGTATGGGTTACTAGAGCAGAGTGCGTTTACTAGTACAAATTGGGGTGGTAAAAAACCAATCGATGTTGCACGTCAGGCTTTATTTTATTATTTGCCAATTTCCCTGTCATATTCGAGTTGAAACTACAACACAATGTGTACTTTTGTACTGAGGAAGCCGGATTTGTGGCACTTACGTGTGCATTACGAAATCGATGTGTCCAAAAAGGCTAATATTGGTGATGACCATCAAGATTGAAGCATAAATTGCTGTGTAAGAAGATAATCGATGTGTGATTGCTACTGCCAAGAAGAGGGTTACCAAAGTCGTGACAAGCACATTGGTTTTCGTTATCATTTTTCATCCATGATAATTAAAGGCCAATGCCATTCAACTGAACTACTTCGAGACTCGCATTCAAATAGACGACGTCCTGACTAAGGCTGTATCGAAAAAAGGTAATATTATTGTGACTAGTTAAAACATGCGTATTTAATTGATGAAATAGATTTTAGCAATGTACTCTCTTTGATGCACGATCGTTGTGCTGATGTGACGGCCACTGTCACGAGTGACACAATAGCATGAGAAGTACAAATCGGTTTGACCGAAAACTTCAATGAGGTTAAAAGCACCGATAAACTCATCATGTACCCTTGTGCGGAATTAGCCTTGATCATGTTGTCAACCCCCGATACTGTTAACAGATAGTGAATGCGTACTGGATAAAACGTTCGTCAAGAGGCCGCCGAATGAACTCAACGTGCTGGATTACAAGGATACTCCACATCTACTGACTCCATACAATTTCTGGTCATATATTACGCTATTGCGTCTTAGCAACAACTTCGGACTTACGTCCCACCCTTTTATCGGACGACAATTATTTGTTACGTCCAGTTTTCGTAGACACAAAGTGCGGGGTACCTACAATATTAACGAGCTGTTTCTTGACAACGATTGCATATTTAAATTCACACATAACCGATAGAGTGAGGGTTTTTTTTAAGATGAATTTTTTTTCCATATCCCTAGGACTCCGATTGTTGTAGCCGTGGTGAACGATATGAAGCTGATCTCACGTGAACCTGTATAAGCTTTACTCATTTTTGTTACACTATAGAAATGGGTTGGTCAAGGTTGATCTTCACAATACCATACCCAGTAACTAGATAAAAAATAAGCCTAAATTGCACACATTTTGTCTGCGACACGTCAACTAAGAAGTACAAGTGTGTGTTTTGATTTTCATTTATGTCTTATGCCGAGCATGCTGCAAATGCAGGGTATATTCCCCAGTATTGAGCTCGGTGCGCGGCAGGTCTACTGCCTGCCTCGGTCACACCTTAAAGCTTTCATACTACCAAAATACGTAAAAATATATAAGATTAACACCTTAGACCAAAGATGTAGCGTCTTCAGAAAAAGTGTACAAACCTAACTTTACTTTTATCGCATGTTCTAAGATACGATTAGCCTTTTTGGCATCTTACATTTTGACGAACCATCTTAACAATGACTCTTCCTCGGGTGCTCTGACCTTCAACATTACAAAGTATAGGGTCGTAGCACGTGTGTCGACCTAGCAGCAGCAAGATTACCTTGCCCCAATTTATACTGTTAAACTACTTTCCCTCCCAGCAGCTTGGACTGAAGGAAACCTTACTACAAAGCAAAAAAATTCTCTAGGCAATTTTGAGTTCACGTTGCATGAACGGGGTAATCAAGCCAACTTCCTAAACGCTGAAAGCTGCGCTCATGTATTCAATGCACTCCATTTTCATCGCTTGAGTGAAAATATTCCTCACAAGAGGGATGAAAATATTAGTTGTTCGCACAGATATGGTGGATGAGCTCGTGATTGTTAGATGTACCCGAGTGCTAAGAAGTCAAAGAGAAACCGTTTTAATACTAAACACAGTGTACGCTGAAGTCAGGTGCCTCGAATTGTACGAACACTAAAAAAGATGCAGAAAAAAACCGACAAACAAACGAGCCACCATTTGAATCAAGAGGGATGCATGTATTAATTGTAGTTGTATCTTCTGTTTGTGAAGCATTTTTAAATCTTCTCTTATCTACTTCTAAATAAAAGTAGTAATACTAAACGAACACCATTCATTGCGTGCTTCGATCATACTTTTATTTTATGCATCCATTTTAAAGTAATAAGAAGGGTGTTGTCGGATGCAAGATAGTATTGCCTGTTGAGGTTATAACCCAACATATTTGTACGGTAATAGTTTACCTCACATCCAATGTTCCAATCCTCACAACCCTCTGGTACAATTAGGCTTATGTTTATCATACCGGTATCT